TAACTTTCCATGACAATAGCTATTTGCATTTCTTTTATCTTTTTGTTTAACATTTGTGGGGGTTGGGATGGATTTGATTATTAACTCTTATTGCACACTAAAGGTAAATGTAAAACAAAGGCTTTGTTAGAGCTTCAAAGGGAAAACAGCAAATATTGTTTTTAGGTTTCAACATTTAAAGGCTGTTAAAGGATACCTATAAAATATTTTCACATGACCATGACCAGGGTTTTACTTTCCTGTAAGGTAAGAGAGAGCCGTGTTTGCAAATGAGATGGGCCGATTTAGAGTTACTGGGGGCTGCCACCTGAAGTAGTTTCACATGCATGCTTCACACTGCTGTCGCCAGCACCACATGGCTCGCCTTAGTTATAGTACTTCAGATCTTTGCTTACTAGAATGACCCCAAAGTTCGGCATTGTGATTGGGTGAGGTTCCCGAAGGCTGAAGAAAAAGGAAGCAAACTTACTCACAGGGATAGGTGGGGAAATTTGGGAATGATGACCCCAAAGGATGTAGTAGATTTCTTTGATGGAAGTAAAAGAAATGTAGCAGTTGTAAATCAGAAAGCCTGGGTTGTGTCCAAAGTCTCTTCTGGTTGTAGAGGCTGGACTGCACACCAGTTTATTTTTCGGTGTGTGTATGTTGTTGTTTTTCCCTTCCTTCCTTCTTTCTTTTCTTTTTTCCCTTTGCCTTCACTTCTTCCTCTTTCCTGCTTTCTCCTTTTTCCTTCCTTCCCTTCTTTTTCTTCTTTCCTTTTGTTTTCTTCCCCTTCCTTCTTCCCTTCCTCTCTTATTCGATGCTTCTCCCCTTCCTCCCTCCATTGCTGTCTTTTCTTCCTTTCCTTCTTCCTGGACCTCTTTCATTCCTTCTCTCCCCCTTTTTTTGTTGTAAATCTTACTCAATATTTGAACTAACTAGGGCATAGAAAAAACACAAAACACGTTGAGATTGATTTCTGAGTGGATATTCTTGTTTTCTGAACAGAAAATGAAGTGATACCATTTTTTTCAACTGGTCAAATACGTATTGATATCCTTCTAGATATCTAAGAAGTCGTTGAAAAATAAGACATAAAAGCCCATATGGGTTAAGATTCACTTTTTAAAGAGGCACCAGTCTCTTGTAAATTAATTAACCCATTTGGACCTTCTGTTTTCTCACATGAAAAATATGTCATTTGAATGGAAGATTTTGGGGTATTTGAAATGTGAACCATGTTCCTGGACTTCAAGAAAAGGGGTCCTCTAGCCAGAGATGAAGTACTAAACCACTGCCCTTCATCATGGACTAAGGTACTGGGTTTGCTCATATTGGTGATGCTGCACACAGTAGGGTCTCAGTCCCAGCACTTGTTGGATTGAAGGTTAAGGTGAAATAGGTTGGCTATTCTTCAAAATCACTTTTATGTAATTATATAAAATGAATATAATGTAGAAATCCTGATGCAAATCATTTCCTTTAGCTACCTTGAAGAAAAGGGAGAAATAATTTTAATGGAAAAATAGAATATTTATTGTTTATCCTCACATTCTGCATTTACCTGGAACTGATTCCCAAATAGGGCATACCAGTTGACACTGTATGTTAGATACCACTCAGATTAAATTAGGGGTAAAATGTACTCATACACATCATAACACTGAAATATTGTAATTACTTGAGGGCAGTAGGGACTGAAATTAAAAATTAGGAAGTAGGTTGAGGAGGTAGAGGAAGAGGAGGGTACATTGAACTTCCTACCCTAGAGGTTGCAGCTGAATTTTGACATCTTGATCATGGTCACTGGCATCATCATGTGCCTCAGGTCAATGATTCTATTGGAATCAGTAGTGAAAAGGCTACAGGACCATTCTGGTGTTCATATGATCTTCCATGTTATATAAACTTACGTAATAGTCTGTAATATAAAAACAGATTCTTTTTGCCATATCCTTGGCTCACTTTTTAAACTTAAAACCAATAGGAAAATTCAAAAAATGAAAAGGGGGGGGAAGAAAACAATTCATATGATAACAGCATTTTTTTAAAAAAAGAAGATGGGGTAGATTTTTATCTTCCTCCCCCCTCCCCCCCACCCAACTGAAAAGCCTTATGTGATCATTTAAGTTTACTTTTGCTGTTTGTGCTATCAGAAAGCATTTAGGTAAAGAGTTGAAATAGAAAGAGTTAATATATTTGATAACTAAAAGTCATGGTGAAAAAAAATAAGGGATATAATTTTGAAAATGGAAGTTTAATACTTAAAAAAAAAAAATGGAAATGCAGATTTTTTTTCTCCTAGTTGTTGATTTCCGATCCTTCTAAGCTGGTAATGATGCAAACTCAGGCCCAGTACTACCCACTAATTTTCTTGTCTATTATATTGACACATTTCATTTAATTTAGCATGATGGCAAACAGCTGTTGAACTATTAATATTTTCTCAGCAAAGCTAGAAAAAATATCTTTTAGATTACTTTGCTAACGTATACTTTTTTTCTGAAAACTGAAATCAACAGAAAGAAATTAATGAGTGGTCAAATGTGCATACGCATTAAAATTTATGAAACTTCGAAGTAGAGGAAAATATGATTTGTATCCCACTGCCAGATTTTTATACCTAAGTAAAACTTAAACGTAGCCAATTTTTTTATTGCTTTAGTAATTGTAAGTTGGAAGGTCAATTGTATAATTTTATTATTAATTCTTATTTTTTTCCAGGGATAAAAATAACACTTTTAAAATCTTTAAAGGGGAACCAGCTTATATTTTTTCTCTGTGTTCACTTATAGGTCCTATACTGAGCAGGTGAATGTGGAAGCTGGCTTAGTATTTCCCTGCAAATGTTCTGCAGGTTCAAGTACAGCGCTCGGATAACTTTATTCAAAGGAGGCCTTTTCAGCAGTTTTTTTTTTTAAATTAAATTTTAATAAGGTCCAATTTTTTGCCAGGTCTATATGATAACAAATCTCATCTGCACTGCAAAGTCTAATACTATAGGTCCGACTGCCAAACATGGAAAAAAATAGACACAGCTCAATAGCTAAACATGAAAATTAGTTTGGAATGCATTGCTTTGGAGAACATCTCAAGTAAAAAGGAGGGAGAAAGGGCGTTCTTGCTTTGAATTGAGTAGGGTCTGCCAAAGTTCACTTACTTTACATTTAAGATTTGATGAGTGGTGGAACTGGAAATTTCTGGAGTAAATGATAGTACTGTACTGTGTATCTACTAAGCTGTTATTTGTGGGGAGTGGGGCTGCTTTGTAGGTCTTGCTGTGCCTGGAGGCCTGCAGCACACGACCATCATTTCTTTGTGTTTTCCTTTCTTGTCACCATTTGCCCTGTAAGAGAGTTCTCACCCTTGGAGAAACCAATCCTGGGGACACACATCAGCAGTAAAGCACACGATTTTCATTTTCAATTTGAATTGTTTTGTGTAAAAACAAAAAGGTTTGGGGCAGGTTGCAAAATAGTAATTTTAAGTCCCAGAGCTAGGGTTTTCCCCCGCCCAAATGGTGAACATTTATGGTGAAAACCTCCAATTTCCTCTTACAGTAAACATGAAAATTTTGATTTCACTCAAAGCCTACATTTTTTTTCCAATCTTAATGGCAAGAATCTGCATATACTTTCTGGTGGAAATGTCATAAATTGGCCTCAGATCAATTCCTCAAAGATAGTGCTCACCAAAGTGCCACTTTCAGATTTTTAGCCCTAGTGAAATAAGATTTAACTCTTCTCAGTGATACTTGCCTTTCCACATTTGGGGCAGACAGCAGGAGGATAAGCAGGGATAGATTCTGTATAAAATTAAATCCACTTCATTACGTATTGTTCTGAAGAGTGAGCAAAAGGATATTATCATTTTAGTAAAAATTTAAAAAATTTAAAAAAAAAACTTTTGCCATCTAAAAAAAATTATATGAGCATTTGGTCAATTGATGTAGAATGAATCCTGCACCCTGTTAGTAACTTGATCTAAATTAATAAACAAATGTTTTTCTTTTCACTTGTGCCATATGTTGATCCCAGTTACATGGGCAAAAAGAGGCAGCTTGTAATGTTTCTTAAAGGATTACACACTGTTTTGCATAAGGAAGAATGCAGATGCAGGAGTGGATGTGGGATCAAAACATATTCCATGCTTTCTTTGTGTTTTAGAAAGCTTGATTTCAATTGTTTATTTCATCTGACATGAACCATTTTTATTTAACTTAGTAGATCTGGTAGATATATGCTAAGTGAAAAACATTCTGTGAACAGCTTTCACCAGCTTAACCCTTCTCCTTAAACTCAAAATTGTGGTGCTTTTATTCATTTTGAAAGGTCCACAGTGGCAGAAAGCATCTTGTCTACAAGAACTAACTCTCTTCCGAAAGGGAAAAATAAGCCTCCGCTTTTAATGAAATTAGAGATGTTGTGGATGTTAAGCAAACAGAGACACGTTCAAGTCGCAGTCTGGTTTCCCGAAACAAAGGCCTATGAGTCACATATTATTCCACATGAAAATAAAATTGATAGAAGACAAGATGAGAAAAAGTTCATACGCAAAACTTGAAATGTTTCACCTTTACTTTTTCCAACCCAGTTGATTTTGTTGTCTTGAAGAACTCAACAGCATTTGGTCCAGAAAAGTAGAGGTCTTAAGACTTCTTTTTATTAACTCTGAAAACCATTAGATCTAATTGAGTTCCTTCATTATTTTGCTTGTGTCTGTCTCCAGGCAGAAGGAGCTCTGGTGGTGTAGCAATAAAATCATTTGGCTGCTAACCAAAACGGTCAGTGGTTCGAGTCCACTGGGCACTCCACAGGAGTAAGATGAGGCAGTCTGCATTCGTAAAGATTTATAACCTTGGAAAGCCTATGGGGCAGTTCTACTCTGTCCTGTGGGGTCACTATGAGTCGGAGTCAACTTGATGGCAGTGGGTTTGGTTTGTTGTTGTTGTTTTTTTTTTTAATCCCAGGCAGAGGTGGTTGCTACGTATCTTGACATTCAGATATTCTCTTTGTTTTCAGGGTAAGACGTGACCTTTTGAGGTGACTATAACTGAAGATTGCTTTACAGAAGCCAAAAAAGGTAAATGCTGCAAATATGATTACTGGAATTATATCTAGGACTGTATCGTACCACCTTCTAGGCATTTTAATTCAGTTATCCTTTAATCTATTTTTGTCAAATGTACATATATTTATTTGTTTATAAATACGTCTACATCATATATTTTTGGAGGTTTTCAAAGGAAAGACAGCCCGTAAGAGATAGCCCACAGATGATATATATTTCTTTCCTCCAAATAATATAAAATATTTCCCCTTCTTTTTTAAGGTTTTTTTTTTTTTTTTTGGTTGTTGACTTTGGTAGGTTTAAAGTTAGAAAGAATGTTCACATCACAGAAGTGGTGATTCATAAAATTAACTGCTGCAAACAAGAGTAACGCATGTCAGTGTTCTGTGCTGAAGTGGTGTCATCCAGTTGATGTTCATCTGGTGGCTTTATAATCACCTTCTTTCAGAAATTAATAGTCAGGCACCATAGCAACCCACCACGTTGATGTAACTACTGAGCGGTGTGGGGCAGATCCCTCTGATGTCAGTACTAGGCTGCCTTGTTCTCTTGACCTTGGTTGAAAATGAAATGTGTATTTGATTTTAAAAGTAGAACTTTTCAGTGAGACTAATATAGTTTGGTGAATTTAACCTAAATTTAATTTTCTCAGATTCACTTTTGGGGGGACAAAAAAAAATCACTCTAGTTAATACCGTTATGGATGCTGTCTATTTACTTGATTCCAAAAGTATCTCTCCAATGAAACCAATGGTCGTGTTATGCAAGTTAATCTTGAAAGTCGTTTTATGGTCTGATGTTTCTCAAATAATGTAACATCTTCATTTTATTTTTGAATTTTGGCCTTTTAATAGTTCCCTTGGTTTGGTAGATTTGTACCTATTTTAAAAACCATGATAGAAATCATGGTTAAACAAATGCTTTGCTGAGATTTGACTGAATTAAAGTTTGTGTATTTATAAGATATCATCTTCTTACTGTTTAGTTGAACAAGGTTTTTTTTGGAACTTTTATAATGTGAAGATTGTTAGCAGATCAGTTTCTCTCCCCCCCTCCCAGTTTTATTTTTAATCCTACCCAGGGTTTTGTGTTCCAGAATGTATTATAAAGGTATGAATTTGTTTTTATAGGTACATTCTGGTACACTTGATTTGAGCCAACAAAAATTAGACTTGCCTCAATTCTCCATTTGTGTTGTTTAAAATTAAAGTTCCCAGGAAGCACCTGATTGCCTGCATAGAAGAATTGTCCCTTTGGGATGGTCATCGTCTAAGGACTTGGCCATAGCATCAATGTTATCAAGTCACAGCAGGAGTTTTGGCAAAGTGCTTTCCTTTGCTGAGACTCAGTTTTCCAGTCTTAAAAATGGAAAGGTTAGTTTATATCCAAGATTTTAATCCCTGCCAGATGCTTAATTTGTCTCGGGCTTTTAGCAAAGTTTTCAGGTAAGCTAAAAATTACGATTAAATAATACTGAAGAAGTGGTTGATAAACTGAACAATTTGTGTTGATAGTTGTATTATCAGCTACAATTGCAGATAGTAAGGCATTTGATTGCTATCCAGAAGGGTGGTGGTTCAAACCCACCAGCCACTCCTCGGAAGGAAGATCAGGCAACCTACTTCTGTAGAGATACCGCCTCAGAAACCTAAGGAGGGATCAGTATGAGTCAGATCCGACTCTACGGCAGTGAGTGAGTGTGATGATGGCTTCATTGGTAGGTTTTCATTGCTTTCTTTGGGATCACCTGTAAGCATGAATATTTTTCGTCTGACTTGAGGTCTTTATAATGTCCACGCTTACATCCATGACCTGAAAATAGACATATTTGAATTTGTGTAGTGTGAGTTTTCCCAATTCAGAGTTATTATTCAGAGTTAAATCTTATCATGAATCAACAGTGAATTTTGGAAATGAATTTCCGCAATTGTATTGCAGCATTTGTTTTATTCACTCAGTGAACACTATTGTTGTTTGCTTAAATTCCATTTGGTACTATAATTTTGTGGCTAGATTGAAATGTGTGCTCCTTAAAGACAGTTGTCACCTTGTCCTTCTAATTTTTTACTTACTGCATGTGGCATGCATTTCTGGTGGTCACCTAGAGCAGTAGCATCTTCTGTAAAGTACTCACGCTGAGTACTGATTGTCTTGCCTGCACCTCAGGTCCTCAGTAACCGTCTCAACTAAACATTTTCTGTCTTGTTCTAGTCATTGTTAAGAATGTGAGTGCTGAAGGGACAAACTTGGGTTTGAATTTCTGCTTTGTCTTCCTCTGGAGTGGAAGAATCTAATGAGCTAATTGATATAAAGTGCTTACTGTAGTACCCGGCAAGTAATGATTGGTCAGTTATTTTCTGTTTACTGAGGCTAATGCTGTAGCTGTTATTATTATGATCTGGCTCACTCTTAGACACTCTTTAGAGCAATGATACAAAAATTGGTCAGAAACTTTGATTGAGAGAGATATTCTGCATAAAAGGAAAGGTTTTTTTTTATACTCACTGTCAAGGACATAACCAAAAAACCAAACCAAACTCACTACAGTTGAGTTGGATCCGACTCATAGCGATCCCTCCTTGGGTTTCCGAGGCAGTATCACTGTGGATGTTGATTGCCCAACCTTCCTTCTGTGGAGTGGCTGGTGGGTTTGAACCACCAGCCTTCTGGTTAGCAGTCAAGTGCCTTAGGCACTATGCTACCAGAACTCCTGTCAAGGACATAGTCTGTGATATGATACAATGTTCTGCAATTAAGGACCCCTGTAAAGTTTCAGGGTCATGGAAATATTTTGTCCTCTAGATGCCACCTGAAGGAGCTCTTGTGGCAGTGATTAAAACATTCAGCTGCTAATCAAAAGGTTGGTGGCTTGAACCCACCAGCCGCTTTGTGGGAGAAAGATGAAGCACTCTACTTCTGTAAAGATTTAGAGAGTTAGAAACCTTATGGGGCACTTCTACTCTGTCCTGCAGGGCCTCTGTGAATTGGAATTGACTCGATGGCAGTGGGTTTAGGTGCCTCCTTTCATGACACAAAGAAAGATACTGAATCCTTTCTTTTTGCTATGACTCTGAGGAAGCTCAGAGAGCTGTTTTTGCTCAATCCTTGCAGTCGTTCTCAACTTCAATTTTTTTGTTACTTTTTTTTTAACATAATTTTTATTTCCCTTATCTTCAGTGAACATTTTATTACTTTACTTTTCAGTTCCATCTGTGTTTGATTCTCATTTCACACTCTGTAGCCTCAAATAAATAATAAAATATATGTAATTTTTATCCATATCAAGGCCAGGGATCTTTTAAAAAATGAATTGTCTATCTTGCTATAAAGGAAAAAACAGATTTGTTTGATAAATATATTATTATACATACATACATACATACATACATACATATATATATATATAAACTCACTGTTGTCACATCTGTCCTGACTCATAGCAACCCTTCCTTGGGTTTCTGAGGCTGTATCTCTACAGAATTAAATTGCCAGTCTTCCTTCCGAGGAGTGGCTGGTGGGTTTGAACCATCAGCCTTCTAGTTAGCAGTCAAATGCATATCTATATATATATAGATGTGTATCTATCTCTCTATATATGTGTATTTATATATATCTATATCTATATACGGGAGCTCTGGTAGCATAGTGCCTAAGGCACTTGACTGCTAACCAGGAGGCTGGCAGTTCAAACCCACCAGCCACTCCTCGGAAGGAAGGTTGGGCAATCCTACTTCCGTGGTGATAACTGCCTCGGAAACCCAAGGAGGGGTCGCTAGGAGTCGGGACCGACTCTATGGCAAATAACAACAACAACATATCTATATACATAGATGGGAGCTCTGGTAGCGCAGTGCCTAAGGCACTTGACTGCTAACCAGAAGGCTGAGGGTTCAAACCCACTAGCCACTCCTCGGAAGGAAGATGGGGCAATCTATTTCCATAGTGATACTGCCCCAGAAACCCAAGGAGGGGTTGCTATGAGTCAGGTCTGACTCGATGGCACGTAACAACAACAACATATACATAGATATAGATATAGATAACGAGTAGAGTTCTTAGTTCTGAATTAAACAAATGGAATGATTTGTTTAATCATTTGTTTAATCATTTGTTCCAATTATTGGTCAACAAACTAGCACCACTTTTCACGCTTCAAGAGGGATGTGGATTTCAGATACCAGGAGCTACTCAGTAAATACCATGGCCCAAGTTTGAAATCTGGGGATCATTAACAGTCAATGTGTTGTTGTTGTTGTTGTTATGTGCCGTCGAGTCAGACCTGACTCATAGCGACCCCTCCTTGGGTTTCCAAGGCAGTATCACTGCGGAAGTAGATTGCCCCATCTTCCTTCCGAGTCAGTGTAGACACAGATAAATATGCCTACAAACATACCAGAGGAACAACTGGCTGTGTGTGCAAAAAAGTTCCCAGGGAATTGTGGAAAGCCAAATGAAGCCATTTTTGAAATTTGTATTCAAAAGTGTGAATGAAGAATCATAAATAACAGTCATCATACTTGGTAGTGATATAACAATTTTCTTCCAAGGAGATCAAAGCACTTTGCAAAATGGGCCTGGTTGATGGCATTCCTGAGAGGTAGCCAGCAATTCCTATTATCTACACTTTATAGACTGGGGAAGGGAGCCCCAGATGTTACATCACTTACCTATGGTCATCTAGAATGTCATGAGGGGGTCTAAAAAGAGAACTTCAGTGACATTCTATTGTGGCTGCCTTCATTTGGTGACTTAATAAAGGTTATGTTGCCTTTTCTTCCTCCTTGCCTTCATCATTGACAATTTACCGATAGGTATTTTTGCCTAAAATTCAAATCTAATTTGTCAAATTCCTGATCCTCTATTCAATCCTCTATGGTATCAGAAATTGATGGTAATCATTTAGCCCATAAAGATTATAGTTAAATGGTTATTTTCAAATATTAGGCAACTTCAAGTTTCAGGGGTGTTTTTTTAGGTTGGTTCAGTTTTAAAAAAAAATTTTATAGTCACCT